CAAAACAGAACAAAATAGCCACCACCACTACCACCGATCACTGGCGTCACAGCTTTGAGCAGAGACAGCAGCAGCAGCAGCCAAACGCGCCAATTGCTCTCCGTTATTTATCACCCGTCTCATCATCATTGTCTCTTCACCTCTGCTCTACCTGACAAGATGTTCAACCGCCAACTTTGCCCCCGTGCCGAGAACGACTACGAGGAGCTCTTCGTGTTCAACCTGATGCCGGCAAATCTGAAGGCGACCATCGAGCTGCAGGGCATCATCGTCTACGCCTGTCTGGAGCGGCTGGAGGGCATCGCCGTAGGCACCTTTCTTCGGCCCCGCCTCACGTCCGGCGGCAGCTTCCTCCTTAGCCGACAGCTGCCGGTGCTGTACTTCAGTCTGCGTCGTACCTTTGCCGGCCTCGGCGATGACTACCTCCACTTCACCCGCCACAACACACTCCCGCCGCTGCCCATCTTTCTCGGCAATCTCGACTTCACTGACCCGTTTTTCGTGATCACCCGAGACGACATCGAGGCCGATCCGAACTTGTTTCGAGAGCAGGCAGTCGTCCACCACCAGAACGCCGACGAGTCTCCTCCTCCTCGCCATCGTCTGCAGGTTATTGCACTGAAAAATGACCTGGTGGCCTTCCTCCGCGAGGTGATCGGCGATCTTTGCCAGCAATTGCTCAACCCGGCCGTCATTCTCGGCAATGAAGAGGAGATCTTCGATGCGGCCAACCGCATTCTGCGCTGTTTGCCGTTGATAGCTAACGTCCTCAATCGCACCATTGAGCAGGAGGCAGCGATCAACCGCCGTCGTGCTCGCGCCAACTGATCACCTGACAGTCATGCCTTCCACTGATGTTCACTAAGAAGTGTTATGGTACCATTCCATTACTTCACTTTATTTGTACTTGTTCTTTAAGCTCTTCTTTCTCCTTCTTTCCAAAATCAACCCAATAAAAATTTTTAAAAAACCATTAAAACTAGTGTGTCTTGTAGTCTTTTTGTAGTCGGTACAACAGTTCAGCGTTTGGCTGCGGTGCGAAGCACTGTCTCATTGAACCTTTGTTCCAGCAGAAAGAGCCTACTTTTCTTTCTATGTTTGTAGCCAGCCATGGAAGCGAACCCTAACTACAGCAGCAGTCGCAACAACAATGGCTTTTACCGAGGCAATCAACACCGGCTCCAACAGCAGCAGCCCTCATTCTTGGCTACCAACGAGGGAATGCTCCCACCTGGTTCATTCAATGTGCATCCCGTTTATGCGTTTTTGCCTGTGGTCTGGCCACCGATTACCCAACAGCGACAACACCTTTCGCCGCCGCCGCCACCGCCCAGCAGTTATCTTCAGCCCACTTCATACTATCAACCACAACCACAACCACAACAAGTGACCAGTGGACTTTACAACCGTGTTCAGAGCTCTGTCAACTCTGGCAGCTTCGTCCCTGCAAGTGTCTCTTCTCAAGAACAAAGTCTTTTTCAGGAACTGCATCAGTATCAGGTATTGCACCGGAAGGAGCTTGACAAAGTACGCAAACTTGAGCAGCGCATTTCAAACATGGAGCAACTCAACGCCCAAGCTGCAGCAAGTCAATGTCAGACTGCAGAAGGACCTCTTTGATAATTCGGAAATATTCAGCCAGTTTAAAGACAAAATCAAAACGCTGGAGGGTCAGCTGGCGAGAAACAGCACAATAAATAGTGGTTTGATGCCGCATCCGGCGGTGGTTGAAGAGAATCCGCAGCAGCAGCCTTCACCCCATCACCTTTGCTCATTGCTTGACGTCAACAACAACTCACACAATTCGCAAATGAATCCAACGGTGAGTACTATGCTGGTGTTCACAGGTTCTGGCACATGTGCAAACTGACATTTTTGAACTTTAACCCACATTTACTAAATATAGCAACACTGTGAAAGCCATACAGAGAGTGCCCCAATGGGTCCAACACCTGCGCTTAAAATTTCAGCAGGTGTGAGCAATGGCTCATATTGCATGAAGGTAATCTAGTGACTGAAATCACGTAATTACACTTGATGCTAATTCAAATTATTCTTGTTTTGTTCCTTGTTCTACACATTCCTTAGATACCGGTTACTTTTGGTGAGATGCTAGAATTATTAGACAGCTGTTCACCTGAAATGGAGTTTCATTTTGACGGGACAGGAGACACATGCTCTGTTGAGGCTCAATGCGGTACGCCACATCCTGTACTACTAAACATTCTCAAAGAAACGTTTACTAACCAGTTTGCAACTTTTTCCTGCAAGATCATTCCTGTCTACAAAAAACGTAGAAAATGATGCTAGCCAGTTCTCTTTCGATGTCCTCCAGTTAATCACTGCCACCATTTTGCCTGACACTGAGAACGAGAATCAGAGTTTGCAGGCTCACAGAAATGACAAGCAAAAAAATGCTTGTGCCCATAAAGCGAAGGCCAGGTCGTCCGCGCAAGAATGTGAATCTGCAGAATGTGGTCAGTGTTGGTTTTGCATGTAAAAACGCCATAGACCTGTGCCATGTGAGCTCTATGTTGACCAGCGGTGCTTATACTTGTGAGTAGACTCCCCGGCCATTGACCAATAGGATTCTTGCTCGCATTTTAATGGTTTTTATCTAGCAAAATTTTATAAATAACATAACCCTAACCTCAATCGCGAGGCGGCCAAAAGCCGCCGAGCTAACAAGCAAATTCCAATTGAAAAAGTTTAGAAAATAACAAAACTCAAACTGCGAGGTGGCCAAAAACCGCCGAGATAACGAGATAACTCCAGTAAAGGGAGTTTAATGACTAACAACAACTGCGATTACAAGTTGCCAAACAAATATTTTTCAGAAAGTTAGATAACTAAAATTCCTTTTTTCTAACTTTTCAAAAGTTTACTGCGACGGATGCAACCACACACACTCGCCCCAGTTCCCTTTTCTCCTCTTCTTTCGTTCTCGAATGTTCCTGCAACGTTTCCTCTTCTCTCAACAGCAGCAGCAAGCGCCTCATCTTTGCCTGTTGAGCGACGTCATCACCAGCGCACACAAAGCACACACAATTTGCATCTGAACCCAGCGGTGAGTACTGGTTACTGCTTTCCAGGCTCTGGCTCTGGCACTTGTGTAAGACTCTTTGACACTTGGATTTTAATCTACATTCACTAAATATAGCAGCCTTTTGTGCTAGCCTGACTCAAAAAGGGCGACAAGATGAACACTCCGCCTGCTTCTGGAAAGTCAACTGGTGGGAGCAAGGATTTAACTGGCATCGAGATAAGCAAATTACTGAACTTACGTGAACTCAATTCAATTACACTTGATCCTTACCCAACCTATTCTTTTTCTCATGTTAATGTATTAATTTAGAATGTCAGTAATTTGGATCGAAATGAGTTGCGTCGCTTATTAGCAGAAATAAGTGCAAAAAATGATCAATATTTTGAAGATATTTTCCTTAACATACTAAGTAACCACAAACACTCTGTCAGTGTTCAATGCGGTACGCAACATTTTTTACTACTAAACATTGACAAAAAAAGTTAACTAGCCGTTCTGCTTTTTTCTGCAGGATCATCTGTGTCAACAAAAAACGTCAAAAATGATGCTGGACAGTTCTTCTCCGATGTTCTCCAGTCAATCACCCCTAGCAATTCCATTTGACAAGAACAAAAATCAGAGTCCGCTGGCTTTTACAAAAATAGCAAGCAAAGTGCCTGTGCCTTTGAAACGAAAGCAAGGTGATTTGCACAAAGACGAACAGACCAAGGCAGTGAAACATTTTTAATGGCGCTGTTTAATAATGATATAAAGGTTCAAATTAAAATCAATTAAAAAATCAGAAATAATACACTTTACTGCTACTACTACTACTACTACTATTACTACTACTACTGTATTTTTGCAATCATTTTTGTTAATTAAGGCGAGAGTGAGTCCAATTTTCTATTTTATTGGCTCACGTATAATTCCTATAGAGATTTTCAGTTTTCTTTAAAATCTTATAACTCAATTTCTAGAGTACCTAAAATTCAGGTTAAAGTCTCAAATTAAAGTTAAAGAGCTGGTCTACAATCCTATTGGGGTTTTTAATTTTATTTGCTTTTGTTTAGTTTTTATGAATATTGGAAGTTGGAAAAATCACAAAATAGCAGTTTTACCAACTTCAAACGTTCATAAAAACTAAACTAAAGCAATTAAAATTAAAAGTCCCAATAGGACTCTGGACCAACTCTTTAACTTTAATTTGAGACTTCAACCTAAATTTTAGGTACTCTAGAAGTTGAGTTATAAGATTTTAAAGAAAACTGAGAATCTCTATAGGAATTATACGAGAGCCAAAAAAATAGAATATTTGACTCACTCTCACCTTAATTGAAGAGAAAAATAAAAAGGAAAAAGTAATTGAATAACAACAGTTTAAATTCTAGATTTGGGCTTGTCAGTTGTCTGGTGTTTAGTTAAATGGACATCTACTTCCTTCATTGACAATGGAAAAAGGAAAAAACTGTGTGTGAGCAGATACCTGTTAAACAGTTGCCAAACTCACCAGTTTTTAGCAATGATTGCGCTAATGCCCACTGCCGCTCAACCTGTTTCAATATTTTAGTATATGACGACTACCTACTGGAAAGTGATAAAAAAGCAAAAATTTTTGATTTTTTGCTTTCAAAAGTACTACTATCACACACAAACAATTTTTGTTTATCCAAAGCCATTTTTGTCACAAGCAGTGCGAACAGCACACTGCTAAGAACCGATAGAGTCAAAATGTTTAATGTTTGAAAACAACTTTCAGTCAACTTTTATTTAAAACAAACGTTGTAACCTTAACTGTTTATACAAAAATAGCAAAATTGTTTTGAAAAACTAGCTTGCTATTAATCTCTTCTTTTTGGCGTTGTTAGTGGCCGGAAAGAAGAAATCCGCTGTCGCTGAGAAGGATAGATCCTAAAAGAAATGAAATTTAAAGTCAGTACATTTTACAAAAGTTTCATTGAATTCTTTTTTTTACCTGTTATATTGCGAGCATCATCACTGGCGACAAAAGACACCAGATTGGCAATGTCATCAACGTGTCCAATGCGTTTCATCAGCGATTTCTCTGTGTACTCATTGTAAAACTTTTTTCGTCCTTCTGCGTCGAGCCCAGCTGATCTATAATTTAGTAACGTTTCGTTAAGCTAAACTTTTAAAAAAATATCGCAATTTAATAATTACCTGGCAAACTGAGTTTCTACTAGACCGGGGCTAAAAAGGGTAAACACAAAGCACAAAATTAAATATTTTTTATCTTGCTTTGAATCAAGCACCTACTTGACGCTGTTCACCCTGATTTGTTTTGGTCCCAACTCCAGGGCAGCCGTTTTAGTGACCATGTCTAATGGTGTTTGTTAGTGGACAAAAAAATAAGCTTTAAAAAGGTTGGGTAAACACCTTCAAAAAGCTTCTTACCTAAAGCAGCTTTGCTACTGCAGTACACTAGTCGGCGTGGTCGCATGCTGAGGGCGCTGCTAATGTTGACCACATTTCCTGTCGTTTTTTCCAGGTACGGAACCGCCAACTGCGTCAGCTCCACCACAGAACGAACGTTGAGCTTGAAAACGGTGTCAAACTCGGAAAGGAGCGTCGGTGAGCTTAGACCACCGTTTGGGCTGCTGCCACCGGCGTTGTTGACCTGGTAACAGGTAGTTGGTGTTTGGTGTGCTTGAAAACATGCCCTAAAAAGGTGAAAATGTGACTTACTAGAACGTCCAGTTTGCCAAACTTGGCCACCGTCTCTTCAATCAGCTTCTTGGGCGTCGAGTTGTCGAGCAGGTCGGCGACAATTTCTAGCGGTCTCTCGCCTCTTTTAGCGACGGCGGCCACCTGGTCGGCCACTTTGCTCAGTGCGACGGCGTCTCGACCGGTGATGGCCACCTGGGCGCCGTACTACAAATCAGATAAAAAATTACATTATTTTTTCTCAAATGTAAAACTTCTAAAAACTATTAAAATTTCCACTTACTTTAGCCAGTTGAATTGCTACAGCGGCACCAATGCCGGAGCTGCTTCCAGTCACCAGAGCCACCTTTCCGTTAAAGTTGTACTTGGAAGACATTTTGCAAAAATATTTGTGAAATTGTAACAGCAAGCGTAAAGTAGTAAATAGAAAAAAAGTACTGTCAGTTGACACTGCTCTAAACCTATTGACACTGCTTTTATATCTTTTGCCAACCACAACCAAAGCTTATCACTATCAAATAATAATCATCGTTACAAAGCAGCTTATTTGTCTGGCATTGATTAGAACAATAGTTTAAATGACTTGCATATTGAATGTTGCTTAGATACGTTTGAAGTGAGTGCTTTTGTGTCTGTGCCTTTTACAATTAAAAAGTACAAAGTTAAGTACATTTTCACAACTTGCACTTGTCAACAAAATCAACAAGTTTTTTAGCAAATTGTACAACGTTTTTCCTACGACAAACATCAAACCAATGGCACAAATGTAGATATTGCTTCCTTTATTTATTTCTTTATCGGTGCTAAATGATAAGAAAAAACAAGTGTTTGTCACACAATGCATAGCGCTCTACTATTACACTTGACTAAAAGATTGCTTTTTGCACCTATCAACTAATGCACTTTGATGCATACAAACATATTTTAAAGTGCAAAGTTAAAAAGGATTTATTAAACACAGATTTTTTAATGAGTGAAATCGCGTTTCGTTTTATAATGAGAAAGCATTTTTTCTTATTTTTACTTTAAAGAATTCTCGAAGTGAGACAAGCATAAGCAATGAGCGCCAATGGTCTAGTGGTTAAGATGGTTGCTTCCCAAGCAACTGACCCGTGTTCGAATCACGGTTGGCGCACTTTTTTTTAGTTTTTTTGTTATTTATATGTTATCATTTATCGCAAAAACTTTCACAAATTGCAGTTTACAAAGTTTAAAAGTCTAGTTTCACTTAAAAAATGATGTTTCTCCATTTAGTAGTTTCACACATAGACACGCAACAAACGATGCACTACCTGAAACTACGCAGTTACTGTGTCAATGTGACTCTTACAATAATAGCCACTGCCCCACTCACTCATTCACTATTGGCCACACTGACTATTGTCTACTGGCAGCAATTTGATACAGTGTGCTCATTTCAGTCATTTTTTCTCACAAGTAGCTTCACAGGTGTGTGGGCAATGAGCACTTTTCAATAAACCGCTTTTTTAAAGCCTTTTCGTCGCTCGGGCATCCAGCATTTCTAGGTGAGCTTTTTTTACTGAGTAACTGTGCAAGTCACCGTCTGTTTACACTGGTCGACAAGCCAAATCAGCTTATCCCTAAAAAAATGATTTTTTTCCGTCTTCACTGACTCTTTTTGCTCTACAAATTACACCTTTAAAGATA